TCCATTTACTTTCCTACTTACACCCTGTGTGGGTGATCTGCTGGAAGGACCCCAATTTCCTCTACTCCCCAAACAGAAACAGGACTTGTATATGGAGAAATATGAAGTTTGGGTTGGGAGGGACCCCTTCTCCCAGGCAACAAGAGATAGGACAAGGGGAAACAGCCTCAAGTTGTGCCATGGGAGGTTTAGGCTGGATATCAAGAAGAATTTCTTCACTGAAAGAGTGGTTAATCATTGAAACAGGCTCCCCAGGGAAATGGTGGTGTCACCACCTCTGGAAGTGTTCAAAAAATGAGCAGATGTGGCACCTGGGGCCACAGTTTAGTGGGCACGGTGGTATTTGGTCCAAGGTTGGACTTGATGGTCTTGGAGGTCTTTTCCAAGATTTTTTATGATCCTGTGATTCTCTTCTTGACAAGAGGCAGGGCACCTCTGCTGCAGTTCAACCTGCTCTAGTGTGACTTTGTTAACTGGCAGAGTTGACACAGTTTTGGCTACAAAGGACAGAGCAGCCTGAAAGGGAACACCTCACTTCTCCCACCTTGATGATCCCTGGACCAAAACTGGTCCAAGCAGTAACTCCAATCACTGAATGACCTCTCTGACAGTGCCAAGTAATCCCAGGGCAGGTGGCACAGCACCTGTGGTACAGGTGACAAAGCACATGGGGCATGAATCACCTTCTCTCTGCAACCTGAAATTTAGGTCCTTGCCTTCACGGGCTGGATAAAACTCCCAGGGACTAGAAACACGGCCTCCCCACCCTCACAGGGAAGAGTTTAACTATGAATTTAACCTTTAAGAACTTGACCTTAACTGACTGAAATAGAAGAAGGCTACTTTTTATTAAGAATTAATCTGATCTGACTAATAAAAAGGAAGATTTTGTGCCCAAAGCTTGGGAAGAGCTCTGTACCTGCTGTGCACTGGAGCTGGCTGTGACACTGCCCAGCTGCTTCCTCAGCTCCTCGAGCTCCTGCAGGGAGATCTTGGAAGTAGAGGAGGGGATGGAAAAATTTGTGGTGCTGCTGGTTGCTGCATTTGCTGCGAGTTCTGCCCTTTCTTTAGCATTTTGTTGCAGATAGTGGAGTGTCTGTACGTACACAAAACAGAGAAAAGATTTTGTGAGTGCTGGACAGCACACACTAAGGCAAAAGCCATATGACCATAAGCTTGTTGTGCTGAATCCGACCACAGATCTCTCTGTCCCAGTTTTCCACGGATTATATCAAGATGAGTGTAATTCTCAGTAGTGCTTTAATAACTCAGTAAATGCTACAACTGGTTATTTGTTGTTTTTTATGGATTTCACCATCAGCTGTGCTCAAAATCATTGCATTGCTGCTACTGTTCAACACCCATTTCTAAAGGGAACACCAACCTCTTTGTCTTCAGTGAGTTTTGACAGCAGATAAACTAAAGAATCCAGATGCCTTGTGTTTTTAGACTTCAGCTCATCGTATTTCTTTAAAAAATCTTCAGGAGTTCGAGTAAACTCTGCTATTTTTACCTGTAAAACACCACATTACTATCAATTAAAACTAAAATTAAATTGAATTACAGCAAACATGCAGCTCAGGCTACATAGATATGAACTTTCAGACAGAGTTAGCAATTTTCTAGCATTTAAAGCTTGACCGGTGGATGGCTTTTAAAAGCAACAATAAAAAGCAGTATTATGGCCATAAAAGTGTGCCTGGTCATGAGGGAGTTGTAGAGAGTGAGAAGGTCTCCCCTGAACCTCCTCCTCTCCAGGCTGAGCCCCCCCAGCTCCCTCAGCCTCTCCTCACAGCACTTGTGCTCCAGACCCTTCACCAGCCTCACTGCCCTTCTTTGGACACTGTCCAGCCCCTCCATGTCCTTCCTGAGCTGAGGGCCCAGAGCTGGACACAGCACTCCAGGGGTGGCCTCACCAGTGCTGAGTCCAGGGGCAGAATCACTGCCCTGGTCCTGCTGCCACCCTGTTC